AACAAAGCAGAAAACACGGTTCCATCTAATCTGTAATTAGGTAACAGCAGGGAAAGTCATTAAATGAACAACAAACAATTTGCTTGGATACAGTTTTTCTAGTGCTCCATGTTCGAAAGATAAAGCAAATTACTCTGATTAATTCCGTGGGTAATTTCCAGTGAGACATAAACCTGCTTAAACACCAGCAACTTTGGGTTAGAACCTAAGTGATCACAGTCTGCTCCAGGACTGAGTGAGACACTGACACTAGCTTAGCTGTTATTGTGATCCCCTTTCCCCTCCCCATCTTTCAGGACTCCTTGCCTACTATCCCCTCTTAGTGACAGGCTCTCCCTGTAGATTCTAACCACGCCCACCTGACAGGTGCGAGTAGCTGCTTGGTGGTATTAGGGAGGTGAGAGGGAAAAGTCATTGGCGGGTTGTGAAAGGCAGCTCCACCTGCTCACTCCAAGCAGGGGCTCAAGCGAACTTTCGGCTCCCCTGATCATGGCGGCCTATGTTCACCTGAACTCCTGCCATATCAGGCATGTTCAGGTAAAGCTAATAGTGAGAATAGCGACTGATCAGCCTTCAATTTCAAAATCTGTCATCAAATTAAATTACAACTCTGATTACATTCAGTTCTATACAAAGAGAAGAGAAGCTAGGTGTGGATTTCAGGGGTTTCTGTTTTCCCCAGAAACTGAAATTTGGCTCTAAAATTATAAAAAATAAACAAGGGGCTGGGTGCAGTGGCTCACCCTTGTAATCCCAGCACTTTGGGAGGCTGAGGTGGGCAGATCATATGAGGTCAAGAGTTCAAAACCGGCCTGGCCAACATGGTGAAACCCTGTCTCTATTAAAAAATACAAAAATTAGCCAGGTGTGGTGGCAGGTGCCTGTAATCCCAGCTACTCGGGAGACTGAGGCAGGAAAACTGCTTCAACCCAGGAGTTGGAGGTTGCAGTGAACTGAGAGATCACACCACTGCACTATAGCCTGGAGGACAGAGGAGACTTGTCTCAAAAATATATATATAAATAAAAATAAAGAAACAAGGCCAAGGAATTTCTTCCACATATGAACAGATTTCTTGAACACAAGATCCCTCATTATCTTTTGTCCTGGATCTTTTTTAGTGCTAACCTGATTAAAATAATTTGTTGTATGGATAGAAATTAGGGCACTGGAACTCTTTGATCACAGCTTTCTCTTTAAGAAATCTACTTGAATATTGTCTTTAAAAAGAGCTGTTATGCCAAATTCCACATAGAGCCAGGTTCTAGCACGTGATATGGGTTGTAGAACAATCCATCAGGATTAAAAGAATACTGAAGAATTTGTTTTCCCAATGCACTGATAACTACCACCTGGGAAAGTCACCAGTTAGAGTGGCAGTCAAAGCCCCAGACAAGGAATTCTTCATACCCTAGCCAATTCTCAGATTTAGCCCTGGGCACATGTACGGGCAAAACAAGAACGTTGGTTCAAAACGGAACCTTGAGCTCGCTGTAGGGCAGAGCCACCACACAGGCCCCCTGAAAACTTAGAAAGTCCTCTGCCTCTGGCCGGGCGCGGTGGCTCAAGCCTGTAATCCCAGCACTTTGGGAGGCCGAGACGGGCGGATCACGAGGTCAGAGATCAAGACCATCCTGGCTAACACGGTGAAACCCTGTCTCTACTAAAAATACAAAAAATCTAGCCGGGTGAGGTGGCGGCGCCTGCAGTCCCAGCTACTCGGGAGGCTGAGGCAGGAGAATGGCGTGAACCCGGGAGGCAGAGCTTGCAGTGAGCTGAGATCCGGCCACTGCACTCCAGCCTGGGCGACAGAGTGAAACTCCGTCTCAAAAAAAAAAAAAAAAAAAAAAAAAGAAAAGTCCTCTGCCTTGACATGTATTCCTGTTATGGTTTTCCGTAGAATGCAAGCTCCAAGGGCTGGAAGGACCATCTCAAATGTTTTTATACTTTACACGGCACTTAGCATACATTTTGCTGAAGGAAGCCCAACAGTACCACTCAGATACTGAGTATTTGGCAGCTTTTAAAACTGAATATACACTGATAATATCAAATGTTTTACCAAATAAATTATTGAATTTATGCTAAAATCACTGTACTAATAATAGATTTCCTAAATATTTCACAAAACAAAAGCGATCCTATTTTTTTGTTTAAATCCAAGAATAGCTCTAATAAAGACTTATATTTAAATTTAAAACTCCTTTCCCAGAAAAACTCAGCAAAGAAAATGACCATAATTCAAAAGAAAACAAATATGCAGGAAGATAAACACAGTGGCTCACAGAAAAGCGGTGAAGAGATATAAAACATGAACAACTGCCCAACCTCACTGAAAATTCAAAAATGAAAATCGTATCACTGATTGTCACCTATTAGAGTGGCTAAGATGGAAAAATTGTATAAGGAAGCCTTGGCAGGAAATGAAGAAAGGAGTTCTGTCTGTTTGGAGGGGAGTGTAAATCAGTGTATATTCTTAGAATGGAAAACTGACACTATTTCTCAAAAAATAAAAATACATATTTTTTTTTTTCTGAGACTAAGTTTTGCTCTTTGCCCAGAGCTGGCGGTGGTGTGATCTCAGCTCACTGCAACCTCCAGCCCTCCAGGTTCAAGCGATGATTCTCCTGCCTCAGCCTCCCGAGTAGCTGGAATTAAGGTGCGTGCACCACCACGCTTGGCTAATTTTTGTATTTTTAGTAGAGACAGGGTTTCACCATGTTGGCCAGGCTAGTCTTGAACTCCTGACCTCAGGTGATCCACCCGCCTCAGTCTCCTAAAGTGCTAGGATTATAGGTGTGAGCAACTGCACCTGACCTTTTTTTTTTTTTTAATTGGCTTCGCCATTTAGGGCTGGAGGCAGTGGCCTGATCTCAGCTCACTGCAAACCTCGCTCCTGGGCTCAAGCCATCCTCCCAGCCTCGTGCCTCAGAGAAGCACCAGGACTGCGAGTGCATGGCAACACATCCAGCTAATTTTCTTCTTTTTGAGACAGGGTCTCACTCTGTCATCTAGACCGGAGCACAGTGGCGCGATCTCAGCTCACTGCAACTCCTGCCTCTCTCAGGCTCAAGTGATTCTCCTGCCTCAGCCTCCTAAGTAACTGGGATTACAGGCACGCACCACTACCACCCAGCTGATTTTTGTATTTTTTAAGTCAGAGATGGGGTTTCACCACGTGCTTAGCTAGTCTCAAACTGACCTCTTCAAATGATCCACCTGTCTCAACCTCCCAAAGTCCTGGGATTACAGGCACGCAGCCATCACGCATACAATTTACTATTTGGTAGAGATGGGGTTTCAAATATGTTGCCAGTTGGTCTCGAACTAGTGGACTCAAGCAATCTGCCCACCTTGTCCTCCTAAAGTGTTGAGATTACAGGTGTGAGCCACCAAGCCCAGCCATGTTTTACCCAGAAATTCCTCTTTTTAGGAATTACTGCCCAAATACATCTACACATTTACATAAAAGCTTCATGTATAAGGATGCCCCTTCACATTGCTTGCATCAGTGAAAACTGAAGCCCAAATGCTCACTCAATAGGACTGACTTGTTTTTTTGAGACGCAGCCAGCCTTGTTGCCCAGGCTGGAGGCAAAGGCGCGATCTCAGCTCACCGCAACCTCTGCCTCCCTGATCTGGCGATTCTCCTGCCTCAGCCCCCCAAGTAGCTAGGATTACAGGCATGCACCCCCACGCCCAGCTAATTTTGTATTTTTAGTAGAGACAGGGTTTCTCCATGTTGGCCAGGCTGGTCTTGAACACCCAACCTCAGGTGATCCACCCGCCTCGGCCTCCCAAAGTGCTAGGATTACAGGCGTGGGAGCTCACTGCGCCCGGCTAGGGACTGACTTTTTAAAAATGTAAAAATGTTAAAAACATGCAAACAAATAAAAAAAGAAAAAGTTAAGGTACATTTACATAAAGAAATACTCTGCAACCATTAAAAATGAGGTAGTTTGTTATTTGTGGAAATGGAAATCTCCAAATGTACAAAATGAAAAAAAAAAAAGGACTACTGTATAGATACTCACATTTATGTTAACAAAAATATATACACACACATGTAAATGCTGGGACATATAAGAGATAGTCAGAAAATCTACTAAGAAGCTGTCCTAATGTTGATGGCCAGTCTAAGGGCAGGAGCAGGGCCTAGTGGAAATTCATGTTTTGTGATATACACTTTCAACCATTTAAATTTTTAAAATTTACTGTGTCATGTTTTATTATATAACAATAAAATCTAATCAGATAGCCATAAATGCTATATATTAGAATTAATCAGTATGATAAACTACTGAAATATGATAGGTGGATACAAGTCTAGTCAAAAGCTACCTGACATGAGGTAGCCCATGGAACCTCATTAGGATGTAATTTATGAAATATTTAAGAGTTTATAGATTATCACATTTTCTACTTTCACAGACCCTAGAAGGCTGGGAAACCTGCTGGGCACAGTAGCTCACACCTGTAATCCCAGCACTCTGGGAGACCGAGGCAGGCAGATCACTTGAGACCAGGAGTTCAAGACCAGCCTGGCCAACATGGTGAAACCCCATCTCTACTAAAAATACAAAAATGAGCTGGGCATGGTGGCACATGTTTGTAATCCCAGCTACTTGCTAGGCTGAGGTGGGAGGATTGCTTGAACCCGGGAGGTGGAGGTTATGCGAGCCAAGATACAGCATTCACTGCACTCCAGCCCGGCAACAGAGCGAGATTCCATCTTAAAAAAAATAAACCAAAAAAAAAAAAAGGTTGGGAGACCTCTAGGCTGCAAATGTCTAATGCGTTGGCTAATCCCTCTGAAAGGTTTCTCCATACAGATAAGTCCTAGCTTAAGTAACCAAAACCAGCTTTACAAAAATAAGGCATGTATCATGTCTCCATCCCCCAAGACCACACTCCTTTCAGCCTGAGGCAAGTCAAAAAGCCCTGTCAAAAACAACCAAAGATACCTACTTTTGAATTCTATCTGTTGTCCAATGGACACAATCTGTCGTGGTTTTGAGCCAGCGAGAGATGCAGTGGAAGTGAAAAGCATGCTGGAAAAAAAGATATTTTATTAAAAATAACTCCGGTTTTTTTACAGGTCCCACAGGGCAGTGGCATGGGTGACACATAGTGGGCTAGAAAAGGAGTAGGTAACAACGGAGAGGCAAAAGTTCAACAACTGACTGTATCTGCTAGGATGCAGGATATTTCCACAAAGCATTTGTTAGAAATGTCACTACTACTAAAGGAAATCATTCAGGAAGCACAGGAGTATGTGCTAGCACTGAGCTCTCTTCTCTTTAAGAACATGGAATGGGCTCTTGGTCCCATTCAGTCTGTAGGATACTTCCACTTTCCCTGGGAAAGGAGGCTCCCTGGATCACGCAGATTTCAAATGCCCATTCCTGGTCTCTAGCTTCCCCTCTCATCTCTCCTTGCCCCCTGCAGAATACGACCTGCAGGAAGAGAGCCTTCTTCCCAGCCCTTGGTAGAGAAGTGCACGGTCACTGCCACCCACCCAGAGTTGAGACGGGCACTTCAACCTCCCACACCCAGCTCAGCTCTGGTCAAAGCGAACTTTATTTCCAGACTTATTCACAGACATATTGGATATTGCCAAGAGCTCAGTACTTCACATGCCTGTAATGGGTGAGGGACTTCGTCTTAGGGAATGAGATAAAGAAAATTGGGGGTAAAAGGAAGATTCTTATTTAGGACAAACAGCACACAAGCAGCCTAAAGAGTGATCAAAAGGTTTATTTCATAATCAAGACAAGAAGTAAAAGACAAGAGTACCAAGACCACCTGTAACTGACAGGGAGCTAGTCTGCTTAGATTTTTTGGGAAAAAGGAGGGAAGGCGTGGCAGTTTTTTGGTGTGGGCTCATGACATGCAGATGCTAATCACAATGCCTCTACAATAAGCACTTCTCCTGCCTGTGCGATAGGACAGGTGTAGCAAGTGCTTCCTTCACTTCGCCTGTGACTGGTGCGCTGTGATGGGGCACGGGGAGAAATACACCCTAACAAAACAACAAAAGCTTTGCAAGCTTCATTTAATAACAACTGAAATCTGGTCAGTACATCTCCCAAAGTATGTATGGAACTTAAGGGATTATATAATATGGATTATTATCTTGGGAAGCCTTTTGACAAAGACAAAAACATAATTCAGTAATTAAGAGTGGAATCCATAGCTACTACACTAAGGATACCCAAGAGGACAAATATTCTCTCAGAGTACAGCCTTTGGAAGATCCCTTTTCTGTTGGACTCCTTGTATAATTCTCCACTGTGAAAAAGAGAAAAGGCAGAATTTCCCAAAAGGCAGAACGCGCGACATTTTCTTAACCACCAGGTTTTAGGGTCGGGTTCACCGAAGGGTATTCGACAGCTCCCTCTCTCCTCAACCACTAAGCACTTTGCAGCAGTACAGGGTCCTGGTATAGCCCAACTAAGTCAGAGAACACCAAGCTACGGGGAGAAGGGCTGTAATGAGGTGTCAGGAGGTGACAGCACCCTGAACGCTTACTTTCAAGACGTGTTAATGGATATATTCAGCGGTCAGAGAGCAATTTACAGAAGATAAATTTACAGTACTTGACAGTTTACAGAAGATGTTGACATGTATTACCTCATTTGAGGCCTCACATCAACCCTGGCAGGCAAGCATGACAGATATTTTTATCTTCATTTTACAGACAGGAAACCGAAACCCAGACAAGTGACTTGCCTAATTCATGGAGCTATTTGTAGAAGACCCAGAACTGGAACCCAGGACTAATCCAGAGGCTTCTGCCACACCATGCTGGCTCTCTTTGCCGGCAGGCTCTCTGAGAGAATCTCTCTCAGCGAAATTGAAGAGGACGTTCACTTTTCTTTCCACATAAAGGAACATGGTTCTTAGTATGTCTGCATGCCAGGGAGGGCAAAGAGTTCACATACCTCTTTTATCCCCATAACGATTGAAGTTCCCACGGCCAACACGGCTCACTGTGAGCCTGGCCAGAAAGGGTCACAACAGAGATGGAAGAAGGTGTACCAGAAAGTGTGGGTAGGGTTGTGGCACGGTGGGCTCATGCCTGGGTCCCAGCACTTTGGGAGGCCGAGGACACTCCTGAGGTCAGGAGTTCAAGACCAGCCCACAACACATGGTGAAACCCCATCTCTACTAAAAATATAAAAATTAGCCGGGCGTGGTGGTGCACACCTATAATCCCAGCTGTTTCTGGAAGGCTGAAGCAGGAGAATCACTGAACCCAGGAGGTGAAGGTTGCAGTGAGCTGATTGCGTCACTGCATCTCCAGCTGGGGCCACATAGTGAGACTTCCACCTCAAAACAAACAAACAAACAAACAAAAAACAGTGGAGGTAGGGAAAGGGGTTGCAAGGCAACAGGAAAATAATTCTAGAACACCATCTACACAGTAACACCTCTACTTAATTTGTATTTATTTAGATTTTTTTTTTTTTGAGACGGAGTCTTACTCTGTCACCCAGGCTGGGAGTACAGTGGCACAGCCTCAGTTCACTGCAAGATCTGCCTCCTGGGCTCACACCATTCTCCTGCCTCAGCCTCTCAAGTAGCTGGGACTACAGGCTCCCGCCACCACGCCCAGCTAATTTTTTGTATTTTTAGTAGAGACCAGGTTTCACTGTGTTAGCCAGGACAGTCTCGATCTCCTGACCTCGTGATCCACCTGCCTTGGCCTCCCAAAGTGCTGGAATTACAGGCGTGAGCCACCACACCTGGCCTATTTAGATTTTTTTAAAACAAGCATTTGTGCTTACTATGTGCTGGGAGTTGCTTAATCACATTTTAACATAAATCATCTAATCCTGATTACACGTATGTGGTCTACTATCAGCCCCATTTTACATGAGGGAACCCAGGATTAGAGATGTTAAACGCCTTGCCTAACGTCACTCAGCAAGTCAGTCACAAAGACAGGGAATGGTGGTCTGACTCTAGAATCTCTTAGCCCTGTGTCATGCTGGAAACTGTGGGTATTCTGTCCTCAGCGACACAGGTGAGGCCCTGACAAGACAATTTAGCTCATGTGACTGGGACTTTACAGCTTAAAGGATGAATTTTTAACACATGCTAGAAATAACATATTTGGTATTTGTTATCCTTCACAGCTGTCACACTCTTGGAAGGCCATTCAGTCCAATAAAGCTACACAAAGCATTTCTGGTATAATATAAGCTTAAAAAAATCCTATCTCAGTACATATGCCACACTTCACACACACACACAAACACACATACACAGAAACTTGAACACTCAATTTACTCATCAAACTTAGTTCCATTAGACACGTGGTCTTTAAAAAAGTCTGTTTCAAAGGTACAAAGTTCTACCAAGAGAATATTCCAAAGGGTGCACGCAGGTTTTGGAAGGCACTCCCCATAGATGGCTTCTCCTAAAATATTGCTAACAAAAGTGGGTCCAATTTTTTATAATTAAGACAAGTAAGTGCTTGCAGTAACTGTAATTTTTACCCTGTAACAGGTGAATAGTATCATGATTTAAAATTTTTTTTATTATTTGTATACCTTTTAGAGAAAAAGCTGGACTAGCTGCTTTTTCCTCAGTTATTTTCAAGACTAGCAAAGCAGGAAAAGTGGAAATATGTTTACAAGCCATGCTGACAGGTAAAGATGCTTCTCATTACATAGACTCCCATGCGACGGTACATTCTTCTGAAGTAGCAGACGCCTGGTTAGCTTGACATTCTATGCCTGTGGGAACAAGAGCAACAGGATCACTGGACCTTGGGAGCAGGAACGTTTCAATCTATAGCAGCCAAAACAATTCTCAAGTGGTTAATTAGCCATAATTGTTTTTTAATGAATGTGGGAAAGGACGAACAGAGAAGACAGAGGTAACAGTATGCTTTCTGATGATTTCCTATCCTTGTTTAAAAAGAGTAAATAAATGGGAAACGCACATTCACTTCCCGCTGTCTCAGGCTACAGTGCAGAGTGACATGAGCATGGCTCACTGCAGCCTCAACATCCTGGGTTCAGGTGATTCTCCTTCAGCCTCCTGAGTAGCTGGGAATACAGGCACGCACCACCATGCCCAGCTAATTTTTGTATTTTTAGTAGAGATGGGGTTTCACCATGTCGCCTAGACTGAGTTTTTTCCTTTTTTTGAGACGGAGTTTCCTCTTGTTGCCCAGGCTGGAGTGCAATAGAGCGATCTTGGCTAGCTGCAACCTCCGCCTCCCGGGTTCAAGCGATTCTCCTGTCTCAGCCTCCCAAGTAGCTGGAATTACAGGTGGATGCCACAACACCCGGCTAATTTTTTTGTATTTTTAGTAGAGACAGGGTTTCATCATATTGGTCAGGCTGGTTTCAAACTCCTGACCTTAGATGATCCACCCGCCTCGGCCTCCCAAAGTGAGTGCCACTACGCCTACCTACCCATCAGACTGATCACACAAGAACTCATCAAGGCCAGGCAGGGTGGCTCACGCCTGTAATCCCAGCACTTTGGGAGGCTGAGGCAGGTGGATCACGAGGTCAGGAGATCAAGACCATCCTGGCTAACATAGTGAAACCCCGCCTCTACTAAAAATACAAAAAAATTAGCCAGGCGTGGTGGCGGCCGCCTGTAATCCCAGCTACTTGGGAGGTTGAAGCAGGAGGAGAATGGTGAACCTGGGAGGCAGAGCTTGCAGTGAGCTGAGATCGTGCCACTGCACTCCAGCCTGGGTGACAGAGCAAGACTCCGTCTCAAAACAAACAAACAAAAAAAAAGATCTGATGGGTAAAGTACAACTGGGTATAAATATTTAAAGAACAAGAATTACTAATGCATAATTTGCTTTCTCTGATGATAGTAACTAAATGGAGTCTCCCTTCTGAAGAATAAAAAGCTTCAGGAGAAACTATTTAATAGGAGAATCACTTCCAAACCATTACAGGTGAAAAATAGTAAAAACTATGGTCAGGCGCAGTGGTCATGACTGTAATCCCAGCACTTTGGAGGCTGAGGCGGGTGGATCACGAGGTCGGGAGTTCAAGACCAGTGCACCCAACATGGTGAAACCCTGTCTCTACTAAAAATACGAAAAATTAGCTGGGCGTAGGCCAGGCGCAATGGCTCATGCCTGTAATCTCAGCACTTTGGGAAGCCGAGGCAGGCAGATCACGAGATCAGAGATCGGGACCATCCTGGCCAACATGGTGAAACCCGTCTCTTCTAAAAATACAAGAAAAAAGTTAGCCGGGCGTAGTGGCGGGTGCCTGTAGTCCCAGCTACTCAGGAGGCTGAGGGAAGAGAATTAATTGAATCCGGGAGGCAGAGCTTGCAGGGGGCCGAGATCGCATCACTGCACTCCAGACTGGGCGACAGGTGTAAGACTCTGTCTCAAAAAAAAAAAAAAAAAAAAATTAGCCGGGTGTGGTGGTGGGTGCCTGTAGTTCCAGCTACTCAGGAGGCTGAGGCAGAAGAATTACTTGAACCTGGGAGGCAGAGGTTGCAGTGAGCCGAGATTACGCCTACTGCCACTCTAGCCTGGGTGACAGAGCTAGACTTGTCTCAAAAAAAAAAAAGGAAAACTAAACAAAACAAACAAAAATAGATGTTAATGGGCATATGTGGTTTTAGGGGAAGAGATACCACAATAATATATTTTTTTTCACCCTTCAAAAATTTAGAAACTGGGCTGGGCATGGTGGTTCACACCTGTAATGCCAGCACTATGAGAAGCTGAGATGGGCGAGTCACATGAAGTCAGGAATTCGAGACCAGCCTGGCCAATATGGCAAAACCCAATCTCTACTAAAAATACAAAATTTAGCTGGGCGTGGTGGTACATGTCTGTAATCCCAGCTGCTTGGGAGGCTGAGTCAGGAGAATTGCTTGAAACCAGGGGGCAGAGGTTGCAGTGAGCCGAGGTTGTGCACCATTGTACTCCAGCCTGGGCAATGCAGCAAGACTCTATATCAAAAAACAAAAAATCAAACAAAGGCTGGGAGTAGTGGCTCACGCCTGCAATCCCAGCACTTTGGAAGGATGAGGCTGGCAGATCACTTGATGTCAGGGTTTGAGACCAGCCTGGCAAAATATGGCAAAACCCCCTCTCTACTAAAATAGCAAAAATTAGCCAGGCCTCGTTGTGGACATCTGTAATCCCAGCGACTCAGGAGGCTGAGGCAGGAGAATCACTTGAACCCAGGAGGCAGAGGCTGCAGTGAGCCCAGATCACACCACTGCATTCCAGCCTGGGCGACAGAGTCACACACACACACACACAAAAGGAAAGCAAGACCATTTTTGCTAGCCAGATTTACACTACAGAGTAACTTGGCTTGCCAACTGATAAAAATAAAGAATTGGGGCCAGGCGCGGTGGCTCATCCCTGTAATCCCACCGCTTTGTGAGGCTGAGGTGGGTGGATCATGAGGTCAGGAGATCGAGACCATCCTGGCTAACATGGTGAAACCCCATCTCTACTAAAAATATAAAAAATTAGCCAGGCGTGGTGGCGGGTACACCAGAAGTCCCAGCTACTCAGGAGACTGAGGCAGGAGAATGGCGTGAACCTGGGAGGCGGAGCTTGCAGTGAGCCGAGATTGCACCACTGCACTCCAGCCTTGCACAGAGAGACTCCATCTCAAAAACAAAAATAAAATAAATAAAATAAAATAAAGAATTGGGCCAGGCACAAGTCATCACACCTGTAATCCCAGCACTTTAGGAGGCCACGGCAGGAGGATCACTTTAGCCCACTCAAGACCAGGCTGGGCAACACAGCAACATCTCATCTCTAGAAACAAAAAAAATTAGCTGGTGTGGTGGCACATGCCTGTGGTCCCAGCTACTAAGGAGGCTGAGGCAGGAGAATGGCTTGAGTGCAGGCAGTTGAGGCTGCCGTGCACCATGATTGCACCACTGCACTCCAGCATGGGTGACAGAGCAAAACCTTGTATTTAAAAAAAAAAAAAAAAAAAAAAGCCAGGCATGGTGGCTCTCACCAGGCATGGTGGCTCATGTCTGTAATTCCAGCACTTTGGGAAGCTGAGGCAGGCAGATCATCTGAGGTCAGGAGTTCAAGACCAGCCTGGCCAACATGGTGAAACCTCCATCTCTACTAAAAATACAAACAATTTGCCGGGTGGTGGTGGCACATGCCTGTAATCCCAGCTACTAGGAGAAGCTGAGGCAGGAGAATTGCTGGAACTTGGGAGGCAGAGGTTGCAGTGAGTTGAGATCACGCCACTGCACTCCACCCTGGGTGACAGAGTGAGACTCCATCTTAAAAAGAAAAAAAAAAAAAGGATCTAGGGTCTATGCAGTGTATTTAATAACTTATTGGGACTAGAATACACTACTATATTTAAAAGAATGGAAGAGAAAAATATCCTTAAGTTGATCCTCTAACTTAAGAGGAGAACTATATATTATAAAATTAAATAACAGTCACAATTATTAAAGTGAAAATTAAAACTGTTTCAAGGTACATCACCATGTTTAAATTTGATCTGGGTCTTTCTTTTGACTGTGGCCATGGCACTACTAACTCAAAGAATCCTTCAGGCTCCCTTCTCATGGTATAGTTCTTTCCTTCCTCTCTGCCACACCTGCAACATGCTCCTCCTCCTATCACTCTCAATTAATCTCCACCCTTCAAGACCCAGCTTAAATCCCACTTCTTGACTGAAACTTTTCCTGACGCTTCCACCCTGAGTCATTTTTCCTCTTCAGGCACTCTTAACACATCAATTATGGCATCTCTCACATACCTGACCTCCTCCTTCTCAACTCAAAGTCTCTACAGAGCAGGGGACTAGTCTTTGCCATGCCAAGTAGGCTCTTGGTACTGAACAAGCAAAACAAAAACTATTTCTATAAATAGAAGAAATACAAGACAAATACAGATTCATCTATTCTTTTTTTTTTTTTTTTTAAATTTTTTTTTTTTTTTTTGAGACGGAGTCTCACTCTGTTGCCCAGGCTGAAGTGCAGTGGCACAATCTCACTCACTGGGTAACCTCCACCTCTTGGTTCCAGCCATTCTCCCACCTCAGCCTCCCAAGCAGCTGGGATCACAGGTGCGTACCACCACACCAAGCTAATTTTTGTATTTTTAGTAGAGATGGGGTTTCACCATGTTGGCCAGGCTGGTCTTGAACTTCTGACCTCAGGTGATCTGCCTGCCTCGGCCTCCCAAGGTGCTGGGATTACAGGTGTGAGCCACTGCACCCGGCCAAGATTCATTCCTTTTTTTTTTTTTTTTTTTTTTTTGAGACAGAGTCTAGCTTTGTCCCCCAGGCTAGAGTGCACTACAATCTTGGCTCATTGCAACCTCCGTCTCCCGAGTTCAAGTGATTCTCCTGCCTCAGCCTCCCAAGTAATTGGGACTACAGGCGTAAGGCCACCATGCCTGGCTAATTTTTTTTTGTATTTTTATAGAGATGGGGTTGCACTGCATTGCCCAAGCTGGTCTTGAACTGAGCTCAGGCAATCCACATGCCCTGACTCTCCCAAAGTGTTGGGACATATATGAGCACTGCACAGCTGATCCAATTTTTGCTAGAAAATTCCTAAGAAAGAACAAAAAGATATAGGAGTGATATTACAGCACCTAGAATGCCAGATAAGAAGGATATAGCAGGGAAAACGATTGGTGTAAAATGTGCTCAATAAGCAAACGTTTTCCGCTGTTGCAGAGTAAGTAAGGGGTTGGGTCCAGTTAGTTTAAACAGGGTGAGAACTGTCTACTGTCAACCCAGAACAGGTAGACAGTGGCACACAATGCTCATGCCACACTCCCTGCCAAGGCCGAAGGCTATCATGTGACTTAAAGCTTGGGGACCTTTGGTTTTGATAGAAAGGCTATGCCACCAAAGAGCTGTTAAGGAAGCAATGGCTTCATCTCAAGAGCAGACAGATTACACTTTCAAAAACACTGATAGGCCAGGCGAGTGGCTCACCGCCTGAATCCCAGCATTTTGGGAGGCAACGCCGGGTAGATCACTCGAGGTCAGGAGTTAAGAGACCAGACTGGCCAACATGGTGAAACCCCATCTCTACTAAAAATACAAAAATGGGGCTGGGCGTGCTGGTGCATACCTGCAGTCCCAGCTAGTCGGGAGGATGAGGCAGGAGCATAGCTTGAACCTGGGAGGCAGAGTTGCAGCTGAAGCCGAGATCATGCCACAGCACTCCAGCCTGGGCAACAGAATGAGACTGTCTCAAACAAACAAAACAAACCAAACCAACCAAACCAAACCAAATCAAACCAAAACACTGATGGATCTGTAGTTTTAGGTAGATACTAATATCTTCTGGCCAAGGCTGGGCTCCAAGGTGATGAAGATTCCCCATCATCCGGAATAGATTACCAGAGGTAACAGAGAAAATAAAACCTAGCATATTTGATTTTTCAGCAACTCCTTAATACAACCAAGAAAGGAGACAAAGTAAAATAAAATAAATACAAAGCGTAGGAGGGTATGCAGAATCAATATGGACTTCTGGGTGAGAAGTCTTCAGAATCCTACTGAGGCACAGCCATATCATTGTTATTTACTTGGAGCTATGTATATAATTACTCATTTAAGGCCAGAAAAGATTTATTAAAATACAGCCATTGCTAAATCTAGATTCTTACTTTCATCTTTAACAAAAATTGTCTTTACAAAAATAAATCCATTTTTTTGTTTTTCTTTACTAAGTTCTTTTCCCATATAAATCCTTTTTTTTTTTTTTTTTTTAAATGTTATACATCGTGATTCTCCTTAGTGTGTACAATAGAAGTGTAAAATAGGGGCAGTGGCTCACACCTGTAAGCTCAGTGTTTTGGGAAGGTGAGGCAGAAAGATTGCTTGAGTCCAGGCGTTCAAGACAAGTCTGGACGACATAGCAAGACCCTATCTCTACAAAAATTTAAAATTAGCAGCCAGACATGGTGCTTCACACCTGTAATCCCAGCACTTTGGGGGCCTAGATGGGGTGGATCACGAGGTCAGGAGGTTGGAGACCAGCCTGGCCAACATAGTGAAACCCCGTCTCTATTAAAAATACAAAAAATTAGCCAGGTGTGGTGGTGGTACGGTAATCCCAGCTATCAAAGCTGAGGCAGGAGAATCGCTTGAACCCTGGGAGGAGGTTGCAGTGAGCCGAGACTGCGCCATTGCACTTCAGCTGGGTGACAGCGTGAAACTCCGCCTCCAAAAAAAAAAAAATTAGCTAGGTGTGGTAGTGCACGCCTGTGGTCCCAGCTACTTAGAGGCTGAGGCAGGACTGCTTGATCCCAGGTCAAGGCTATAGTGAACTATGATTGTTACTGCACTGCAGCCTGGGCAATTGAGTGAGACCCTATTGCTAACAAAAAAAATACATAAAAATAAAAAAAAAAAAAACAGTGTTTCTCTCTTTGAGATAGAGTCTCACTCTCTCACTCCAGGCCGGAGTGCAGTGGAGAGAAATCTTGACTCACTGTCACCTCTGCCTCCCAGGCTCAAGATATCTTCCCACCTCAGCCTCCCAAGTAGCTGGGACCACAGGCATAGGCCACCATGCCTGGCTAATTTTTGTAGAGACAGGGTTTCGCCATGTTGCCCAGGCTGGTCTTGAACTCCCAGTCTCAAGCAATCTGCCTGCCTCACACCCAAAGTCTTGGGGTTTACAGGTGTGAGCCACCTCACCTGGCCAAGAGTGTCTTTTTTTTTTTAAGACAAAGTTTTGCTCTTTTTGTCCAGGATGGAATGTGGTTATAGATTTTGTTTACTGTAACCTCCACTTTCCCAGGAGTCCAAGTGATTCTCCTGTTTCAAGCCTCCATGTAGTTAGACACAGGCGTGCACTACCACGCCTGGCTAATTTTGTATTTTTAGTGGAGATGGGGTTTCACCATGTTGGGCCAGGTGTTAACCCCAACTCCTGACCTCAGGTGATCCACCTCCTCGAACTCCCAAAGCACCGGGATTAGATGTGTTTCACCATGCCTGCCCAAGAGTGTTTCTTTAAAGGTAAAGACTTGAGGTCGGGCATGGTGGCTCACAGTTATAATCCTGGCACTTTGGGAGGCCAAAGAAGGTGGTTTCCTTGAGGCCAGGAGTTTGAGTGGTCACGCCTGTAATCCCGCGCACTTTGAGAGGCCAAGGTGGACAGATCACTTGAGGTAAGGAGTTCGAGATCAGCCTGGCCAACATGGCGAACCTCATTCCTAGTAAAAATACAAAAATTAGCGGTGAGGTGGCCCACACCTGTAATCCCAGCTACTTGGGAGGCCGAGGCAGGAGAATCACTTGAATACGGGAGGCAGAGGTCGCAGCGAGCGAAGATTGCATCACTGCACTCCAGCCTGAGAGAGACAAACAGAGACTCTGTCTCAAAAAAAAAAAAAAAAGGTAAAGACCTGATCTCTGTCATTGTTTGTCCTGGTGCCTACCAGATGCTCAGGATATATTCATTGATAAATAAAAGATACACGACTTAGAAAATACTTTCATAAGGTTTTTGTTATAAGATTTCAATATCCTACTTCATCTGACATTCGAAATATGTTATGAAACAAAACAGGTATTCCACTGAAAGCCTAATGTGATGTCTCAAGCATTTCACTCTAAGAGAAGACAGAATATGGATTGCCTTTGTCTTCTGTGGTCCTTCTAAGAAGTACATTCTCTCATATCCAGAGACACATATACACTGACTTAAATATAGAGAAAAAAATCAGGGTTGTAATATAAGATCATTAAAAATCATTAACTATTTTCAAAATAGAGCCCCAGTAAAGTAAAATTTTCTCTGGGTATAACTCCTTGTGAAAATGCAAGGCCCAGAAACTGGCAAGCATGTAATCAAAGACCCCACCCAAACACATTTGAAACCAATGCATATGTTTTTCTGTGATGGGCTCATGTCATCTATATTAAAATATCATGGTAGCTGATCTCCCTTGGCTGTAGTGTGAAGAGATAAACAGTGTCAAAGCTCAAAGAAGCCAAGGGCAATACATGACCAGTATATGCTGTGACTGCTTTCTCTCCAACAGAAAATATTTGATTCGCTTTCCAAGTTGAAAAACATCTGGAGTAAGTTTAAGATAAGTAAGATCTAAAGCTCAACTCTGGGTTAGTGTTACATTGCAATAACAAAGTAGTTATTAACCACATGACTATTGAGCACCCTGAAGTGTGGCTAGTCTGAATCCAGATGTGTTGTAAGTGTAAAATACACACTGAATTTCAAAGATGGTGCAAAGACAGAATGTAAAATATCTCCTTTTTTTTTACATTAATTACGTTGAAATAAAAATATTTTGGCTATAAAAGGTTAAATAAAATAGATTAATTTCACCTTTTTATTTTCTTTTTACTTTATGAATGTGGGTACTAGAAAATTTCAGGCCAGCCACAGTGGCTCACGCCTATAATTGCAACATTTTGAAGGCTGAAGTGGGAGGATCACTTTGAAGCCAGTTCGAGACCAGCCTGGGCAACAAAGCGATCCTGTCTCTGAAAAAACAAAAGAAAAGGAAAAAAACCTTAAAATTATATATGTGTTTGTATTTGTGGTTTACATTCAGATTGGACAGTGCTGGGTTAGACAAAACCAAGGAAGAGAACAGGTGAAGAATATTCTAGGCGAGAAAGAATAGGCTATGTAAGGGCTCTGAAAAAGAGCATGGACACTTAAGAATGAAAAAGCAGGTCAGGAGCTGCAGCTATGCTTGTAATCCCAGCACTTTGGGAGGCCGACGGGCAGATCACAAGGTCAGGAGTTTGAGACCAGCCTGGCCAACATGGTGAAGCCCTGTCTCTACTAAAAATACAAAAATTAGCTGGGCATGGTGGCAGGCTTCTGTAATCCCAGCTATTGAGGAGGCTGAGGCAGGAGAATTTCTTGAACCCAGGAGGCAGAGGTTGCAGTGAGCTGAGATCACGCCACTGCACTCCAGCCTGGGCGACTCCATCTCAAAATAAGAAAAAAAAAAGGAAAAACCGGCCAGGGGCCATGGCTGCTTGGCCACCGTAGTTAGTTTAAAAAAAAAAAAAAAAAAAAGGGCCGGGCGCGGTGGCTCAAGCCGTAATCCCAGCACTTTGGGAGGCCGAGACGGGCGGATCACGAGGTCAGGAGATCGAGACCACTGGCTAACACGGTGAAACCCCGTCTCTACTAAAAATACAAAAACTAGCCGGGCGAGGTGGCGGGCGCCTGTAGTCCCAGCTACTCGGGAGTCTTGAGGCAGGAGAATGGCGTAAACCCGGGAGGCGGAGCTTGCAGTGAGCTGAGATCCGGCCACTGTACTCCAGCCTGGGAGACAGAGCGAGACTCCGTCTCAAAAAAAAAAAAAAAAAAAAAGTGTCCAGGTAAACTAACAGAGTGAGCATATGACTCAAGATGAAGTTGTAAAGGCAGGTGAGTGATCTGAAAAGTAAGTTCCTATAATTCCCAATTTGTAAAACTTGAAGTTTCTTTCTCCATTTCTGGCCTCAGTAACAAATCATTTTAGTTCTCGGATGAAAAAGCACTTACTGTTTCTGGAAAGTCATCAACATTCTTGTTCCTTCTATTATAAGGACAGAAATCAGTCCATCAAAGACTATAATCGATCACTATGTGTTGACCACTACATGTAATAAAAATATGTGAGATTTAAATGAAATTTCTTTAGTGCAATCAATTACCTATTTAGATGTTGGCAGTAATGATTTCTTTATTATGTTTGGGCCTAATACAAAAATACTTACTCCTTAGGCTTCTTTGTAAAACAATGACGAAAAATCAGCTCAGATAGACTTTTTTTTTTTTGAGACTCTGAGTCTCAAAAAAGACTGGGTGAAGTCTTGCTCTGTCGCCCAGGTTGTAGTGCAGTGGTGTGATCTCAGCTCACTGCCACCTCCACCTACCAGGTTCAAACAGCTGTCCTGCCTCAGCCTCCCAAGTAGCTGGGATTACAGACATGCACCACCACGCCCAGGTAATTTTTGTATTTTTGGTAGAGACGGGGTTTCACCATGCTGGTCAGGCTGGTCTTGAACTCCTGGCCTCAAATAATCCGCTCGCCTCAGCTCTCCAGTGCTGGGTTTACAGCATGCACCACCACACCCGGCTAATTTCTGCATTTTTAATAGTATTTTTGATTTTT